GGCCAAGTGGTCCCCAGCCTGCTGCTGGGGGCGTCCCCTGCAGGTGGGTGCCGGCCAAGTGGTCCCCAGCCTGCTGCTGCTGGGGGGGTCCTCTACAGGTGGCGGGCTGGCCAAGTGGTCCCCAGCCTGCTGCTGCTGGGGGGGGTCCCCTACAGGTGGCGGGCTGGCCAAGTGGTCCCCAGCCTGCTGCTGGGGGCGTCCCCTGCAGGTGGGGGCTGGCCAAGTGGTCTCCAGCCTGCTGTTGCTGCTGGGGGGGTCCCCTACAGGTGGCGGGCTGGCCAAGTGGCTCCCAGCCTGTTCCTGCTGCTGGTGAGCACGGGGTGGGGTCCCCTACAGGTGGGGTGCCGGCCAAGTGGCCCCCAGCCTGCTGCTGCTGCTCAGGGGAAGGGGTCCCCTCCAGGCGAGGTTGGGCAGGGAGCACTGTCCAGAGCCGGAACTGGTGGGGGTCCAGGTTGACAGCCTCAGCCCTGATGTGGGGACCCCCGGTGTGAAGCACCCCCATTACTGCCTCGGTCCCCAGTGTTTTTAGCAGCGAAGGGGCCTGACTCAGGGCCCCTACCGTGTGGCTGCTCACAGCTGCACCTCAAGCTGGGAGGAAACCGCCCTGGTCCCTGGATCCAAGAGGGGCGAGTGGCTCACCAGGGCCCTGCTGGTGCTCAGTGACGGGCGCTCCAGGGTGGCCGGTTGCTTCCCGCAGGGCAGACTCCATCTGTGGTCATTCCTAAAACATCTCTGAGGCCCCTCATCTCACTGCCTGTGGCCACCGACTTGCAGGTGCAGAGCCTGTTCCTGGGCTCTGGTGGACGAGAGCTAGAAGGGCGTCGGCCTGGGAGGTCACCCAGCCCTGTCTGTTCACGCTGAGGGTGCCGGCTGTCCTCGGGGCTTGGGATTGGCTCCGGGTGACGGCTGCAATCCCCCCTTCCCCAGACGGTGTTCCTGCGCTACAGGGAGGAAGCCTTCAGCCTCGGGGCTGGCGGCCCGGCGGTGCTCCTGACGCTGCTGCTCTATGGCTGGGCTGTCGTCCCCCTCATCTACGCGGCCAGCCTCTGCTTCTCCAGCACGAGCAGTGCCTTCGTGAAGCTCATCGTGGCGCTCAACTTCCTGAGCATCGGCCCCTTCATCCTCGTCTCCCTCACCAGTGAGAAAGGTGAGGCCGTCCGGGCCACAGGACCCACCCACTGCTCTTGCTCTAGCGGCACAGCGGTTGTGCCGTGCAAACGTGTGTCTGCGGAGGTCTTGTGCGAGAATGTGCATAGCAGCCTTAGTCTCAAGATTCCCAAACGGGGAGCGTCCCAGACAGCTGTCCCCAGGGGAACGGGGACACAGATGGGGTGCACTCACGAAATGCAGTGGCAGTCCTGAAGCCCCGCCACTGCTGGGGAGTAGCTGCTGACCCGCAGCACCCCCAGGGGACACAGTGGGACTGCCCGCAGGGTTGCCAAGGCTCTCAGTCTTCACAGAAGCAGTGTCTCACGTCTCTCCCACGGAGTAGCTGGTGGTGGCTTCGAACTGCTGAGCTTTAGGCTAGCAGCCAAATGCCTCAACCACTGCACCGCCAGGGCTCCTTACATTTCAGCAACAGAGAAGGGAAACGAGCATGGACGCAGGCAACAGTGTGGACAGACGGAGAGGCACGCTGCTGGGCAAGGGACGGCGGCCACGGAGGAGCCGCCGCTCTGATGCCACTGACTTGAAGCCGAGAGCAGCAGAAGCGCGGCTGACCTTGAACGGTGTGGGGGAGGGGCACCAGCCTCCACCCAGTCAAAGCTCCACATCTAACCTCTGAGTCCCCAAAAAGCTTAACTAGTAACCACCTGGTAGCATAGTGGCTAAAGCACTTGACTGCTAGCCAGAAGCCTGGCGGTTCAAACCCACCAGCCACTCCTCGGAAGGAAGGTTGGGCAATCCTACTTCCGTAGTGATACTGCCTCGGAAACCCAAGGAGGGGTCGCTATGAGTCGGGCCGACTTGACGGCACATGACAACAACAACAACAGTAACCACCTACTGTTGACGGGAAACCTAAACGACCACCCAGGCAGTCGATTCACGCTGTACGGCTCGTAGCGTCACACGACACCGCCCACACGTGCGCAGCTGTGTGACGTGCTGAGTAGGTGGGGTTCATCCAGGGGCGTGGGTCATCGTGAAGATCTACAGCCTTCAAGAGGTGGAGGGGCGGAGGGGAGGCGGCAGAGGCAGGCACACTCTGTCTCACGCGAGGGAAGTACATCCTCATTTCTCTTTCTCGTTTCTGTAGAAACGTTTCTCCACAGCACCACTGCTTCTGCCATTTGCTTTAGTTTCAGTGCCCGTACCCTAGAAGGATCCGTGTCTTGGAGTCAGAGGCAGCCTTGAGTAACGGCCCTCGCCGGGCCATCTGACGCCATCTGTGTCTGGCCCTGCAGCTTCCAGGCTTCTTCCTCAGCGTCTGGCTCATCTCCGTCATGGTGGCTTCTGTTTGTTCCTCTGCTGCCGTGTCTGTCAGCTCTCCAATTTTCCAAGAGCCATATCTTGAGAAGAATCCGCGTCTAAGTGGATGTGTGGTCAAGACCCCATGTTGTTAAGGGTCGTCTGTCATCGGGGGACAGCCAGGACGGGACACAGGAGCCATGGAAACAATCGATGACTTGATTGGGGTGTTGGTGACACAGGTGTATACATTGACCACAGTCCATCAGCTCGTCCAGTTATTGAATACGCGTCTCACTGCAATAGATAATCCTCAGGAAACGACCCAGCCGGCAGGGGCGACGCTCGCGTCCCGACAGCTGAAGGGAGCACTCACTCACCCTCCCACCATAACGCTGGTCCTGTCCACGCCTCCACGCTGTGCCTTACCTTGCCCCCCACTCGGGCACCGTGCCTGCGGCCCCCTCAGAGTTCCGTGTGACCTTTCACACATTTCACGCTCAAAACCCACGGAGCTCCAGAGGAGAGCCTCTCCGCCCGGTCGGACCACCAAAGGCAGCGGAGAGTGGACTTCATGCTGGAAGGGGAGCGGACGCCCCCGGAGCAGGCCGAGCGAGGCGGGCATGGCTGCGGAGACTGACGAGGTCCCCGCCGAGGCTCCCACCATCACCGGTGCCCCGTAGACACTGATGGCTCCCTAAGGCCCATTGCAGGGACTCTGAGCCAGGTGGCTCAGGGACTCAGTTTGAGAAACGTGCCCTAAACTCCAGCGAGGACCTTAAACTGCCTGTAGCCCAGCCTCACCCAGGGCACAAGGACTGAGCAGGCTAACTGCAGGCGCCACGGGTCCCTGACTCTGGGGGTCCCTCACGCCTGCAATGGAGCCTGCAGGGGGAGGGAACGAGGACGTTGTCGGTGTCGGCCGGCCCCTTCTCTCGCTTTCTTCCCGTGTTCCTCCCTGCAGGCCGGCGCAGCAGTAGGCTTGGCGCCCTGGCTCCACTAGGCAGACGGCACTTTCCAGCTTCCTCACTGAGCAGGAAGCTGGTGGGTCTTGGGCAGGAGGGCCCGGTGCCGGGAGCTTGACCTCTGGCCTGTGGTTTTACAAGCTCTGCCCTGCTCCGCAGGAAGGAAACAGATAGAGACTCGGGGCCCAGGGGCCCAGCTTGTGATAGGTAGCTGTGCTTGCCTGGCCTTAGCCTCTGGAAGCACGCCCTAGGGTCCTCATCCGGGCGGCTGCAGCTGTGGCGGGCAAAAGGAATGTGAGCACTCGGGCACTTGTCCCAGAAGACGCCCTGAAATGAGAGAAAGGAAAGCTCAGCTGACCGCCTGCTCAGGTCCGTCAGGGTGCGGACGGTGACGCTGAAGCTGCGGTTCCAGTTAAGGTACCAGCACGGTCACCTTGGGGTGTGGTCTCGGGGGTGTCCCAGCTGGGACAGACTGGGAGATTAGCTGGTGGGAACCCTGTGGCTGGAAGAGGGGAAGGCCTGCAACCCACAGTGGCGGCCACAGCAGGCTCCACGGGCACCGTGACCCTGGGGCGTCGTGGCCGAGTCTGAGCACACAGCTCCCAAGTCCTGCCCGGCGTGAGTCTCTCTCTGCTGCATGGAGTCTGAGTGCGCCCTGGGAAGGCGGGTGGGAGGCCTGATGTCACTCATCCAGGCTCAGCACCACGAACTCCCCGGAGGCCCACTGCACAGAGTCCAGAATGCTGTCCTCCGAACCACATCCGGGAGTGGCGTGAGCGCTCTGTAATGGGCTCGGCCTCTTGCCAGGCATCTGGGAGGTGTCCTCACACTGTCTTCCCCGGAGCATGTTGATTTGCCCCTGGTCTCACGGTGTCATGCAGGTGGGCAGGGGTGCTGACGCCCCCTCGGCTTCTCCTCGTGGGTGCTGAAGGTCTGCTGGGCTTTGTGAGGGCAGTACCTGGAGCACCTGTAGGGGGTGAAGGCTCAGTGACGCTTACAAACTGGCAGCCACTGTCCCACTGGAGCGTGGCCCGAGCACACTGTGTGCTTTCTTTCACAAATTAGCTGCTGTGCGTCCTTTAGTTTGTAAAGCATCTTGTGTTTCTTTGTTGGAAGTAAACATTGAAGATATACCACGAAACCCTGCCCATGGGTCAGACTCACAGCAGCTGTGGGACAGAGAACTGCCCCAGAGGGTTTCCCAAGCTGTCAGTCGTTACAGAAGCAGACTGCCACATCTCTCTCCTGTGGAGAGTCGGGGGTCCGAACTGCCAGCTGTTTAATTAGCAGCTGAGCACTTAACCACCGAGCCACTCAAAAACCAAACCCACCGCCACTGATTTGATTCCGAATCTTAGCAACCCCCATTGCATTCCTGATGGAAGTAGGTTGCCCCATCTCCCTTCCATGGTGTGGCTGGTGGGTTTGAACCACCAGCCTTCTGGTTAGCAGTCAAATGCCTTAGGCACTAGGCCACCGAAGCTCCTTTGTTGAGCCACCAGGGCTCCTAAAATACACTGCAGTTCTTTTTATAACTCTTTTCAGCGTTCTTTTAATAGAACACGAGCTTAAAAGTTGACTCGTGTTGACCTCTGAGGAGAGCACTTAAGGAGCTCTTGTTTCTAGCGGCTGGTTGGTCCTCTGGACTCTTGGAGGCACATGATGATAATGTTGGGTGCCATTGAGGGGCTCTGACTCACGGCGACCCCGTGCGCAGCAGGACGGAATGCTGCCCGCTCCTGGACCTCCTCACAGCCCTTGCCGTGCTCGGCCCCGTCCTGGCAGCCGCTGGGTCAGTCCACTGTGATGAGGGTCTTCCTCTCTCTTCCTGACCCCCCATTGTACTGAGCATGGTGTCCTTGCCCAGGGACTGGGTCCTCCCAGTCACATGTCCGAAGCACGTGAGACGAGAATTCACCACCTGCTTCTGAGGAGGATTCCTACTGTTCCTTCCTCCCAGACGGACTTGTTTGTTCTTCAGGAAGTCCGTGGCATCTCCAGTTTTATTTGCCAGCACTGCATTTCAGAGGCATCTGTCCTGTACAGCATCTTCAAGCAGTGATGGCTTGGTGTCCATGCACTGTGTGGGCAAGACTGTGTTGTCACTGATCTGCGACATCTGCACAGCTCGGACTGGGCCCTGCGCGGTCTGGCCCCCAGCTGGCTGGGGGCCTCAACTCCCTGCGGCCGCAGATCCGCCCCCTGCCCGGTAACTGGCTTTTCCAGTACACCATGCTCTTCTGATTCTTTGCATGAACAGTTGGAACCGAAGGAAACGTGACAGATGAAGAGGCATTTATAAAAGGAAAACACAGGGCTGGGGAGTTGAGTTATCGCACAGGGTGAGAACGAACAGGACCTCAGGTAGACCAGGTGTCTGGCCTGGGGTCCTGCGACTGTGCCAGTACTGTGGTGGACATGGGAAAGAGGGACACTGGGCCAGAAGAGGTGACAGAGGGCGTGTGCTTTCTGTCCGTGAGCAACGTTAACACCGTCGATTCCCTCACAGATCTGGACTACAAGGCCATCTCCAAGTCCTTGGATGACACATTCCTGGTCCTGCCAGGGCACTGCCTGGGAATGGCTTTGACCAGCCTCTACTACAACGTGGGATTCCAGAAGTTCTGCAACACCAAGAAGCTGAACAAGACTGATTGCCTCCAAGCTTGTGAGTATTGCAGACAGAATAGGTAATTCCATTTAAGGTACAAGTCACACAACAAGAGTCACACTTTCAAAGTGTGCCTTTGAGTGGACTTCAGTATATTCACAAGGTCACACAACCACCACCACATTCTGGTGCCAGACCGTGTTCTTCACTCCCGAGAGAAACGCTGTGCCCGAGGGCAGTCACCCCATCCCCTGCCCAGCCCCGGCCAGCAGTCACCTGCTCCCTGTCCCCATGTGTCTGCCTGTCCTGGGTATTTCTTACAGAGGGACTCACACAGTATGTGGTGTTTAGTGACTGACTGCCTTCTCTTAGTGTGGGATGGCCCGGGCTCATCCCTGCTGCAGCTCTGGGAGGAAGTGCTCCGCTCCTGGGCTGGGCAGTACCCCGTGTCTCGTTTTGCTACCCCTCCATTGATGGTGTGGGCTTCTCTCCCCTTTGGGGCCATGACGAGTAACACTGCTCTGCACGTTTGTAGGCAGAGGTGTGTGGACGTTGGTTTCCGTCTGCCATGGTGTCCACCAAAGAGTGGTGTCTCTGGGTCACAGGAGAAGTTTGCTCTCTTACTGCTGCCAAGATCCTCTTTTTCTCTGTCTTTTCAGTTTGATGATGTTTCCAGATGTGGGTCTCTTTGAATTTTTCCTCTTTGGGTTTCATTGCGCTTCTTTGATTAATATTTTCCAGTAAATTTAGGAAGCTTTGACTGATTACATCTTCAAATATTCTTTGCCCCGTTTGCTTCTCCTTGGCCCCCACGGTGTGACGGATCACTTTGTATGGCCTTTCTTGCCATGGTCTTGTGACTTCCACTGAATGACTGTTTCTGCTCCTGTCTCTTTACTGGTACAGTCTGCTAATTAGGTGATGCATCTAGTCCCCTGGGGTTCCTGGGCCGCCCAGCTGCCGTCAGGTATCCTCTGGGGTTCCTGGGCCAGCCCCCCTGCCGTTGGGTGCCCCCTGGGGTTCCTGGGCCAGCCCAGCTGCCGTCGGGTCAGTGCTGCTCGTGATGACCCGTGTGTCAGAGCACAGCTGTGGAGGGTTCCGTGGCTGGTTTTTCAGCAGGTCATCACGAGGCCTTTCCTCCAAGGCACCTCTGGAACTCAGAGCTCGAAAGCATTGGGTGACATCCAAGCATGTTTGCTGTCTGCACACCCAGGGATGTCTTCATTCTTTGCAGTATTTTGAGTTGTGGCTGTAGAGTCTGTCCAGTGAAGCCAGTGTTGGGGCTCCTGAGGCACATTGCCTATCAGTTACTTTTTTTTTTTTTTTATTTGTGCTTTGGGTGAAACTTTACAGAGCAAATTCACTTTCCATACAGCAGTTCACATATACTTTGTCTCATGACATTGACTGCAATTTCCCACAATGCAACAGCTGTCTTCCCACTTCCTCCCCTGGTGGTTGCGTGACCTTGTGTTATTGTTATTGTTATGTGCCATTGAGTCGGACCCAACTCATAAGGACCTGTCCTTGGGTTTCCGAGGCGGTATCACTACAGAAGTAGATTGCCCAACCTTCCTTCCAAGGAGTGGCTGGTGGGTTTGAACCGCCAGCCTTCTGATTAGTAGTCAAGTGCCTTAGGCGCTATACTACCAGAGCTCCTTTCCTTCCCATAGCCACCTCTTCCCTGTGTCCTTCCCTCCATGCACTCCTGCCTCCTGAGCTGTCTCCCAGTGCATAAGCAGCCCTTCTTTCTGCCGTGATTGTTCTCTCCAAGGAGTGTATCTACCTCAGGTAAATGTTCAGCTCATGTGCCTGTCTTTGCTTGGCTGGAAACCACAGGAGTGGGTTCAATTCCAGACCTGAAGGGCAGCTAGTGGGCATAGTCTCAGTGGTTCCACCAGGCTCCATCAGACCGGCAAGCATGGGCCTTTTTTAAAATCCTATCAGTTACTTTTTGCCTGCGCACAAACAGGACCCTCTTATTTCTTCAGGTCTCATACTTTTCTGTTGAAAACTGGATGTTTTAAATAACAAAGTGTCGGCTTTGGAAGGTTCTCTTCCCTCTTAGGGGTCTGTCATAGCAGCTTTCTGTTGTTGTTTGTTTGGTGACTTTACTGAATTAATTCTGCAACATCTGTCGTATTTGTCATGTGTGACCCATGTCTCTTTGGCTAATGTAGGGGTCAGTTAATGGTTGGACAGGGATTCCCTTTAAAATCTGGAAACACCAGCCTCCCAGCCTTTCCCTGAGGCTCCTGTGTATGGTGGGGTGTGCCTCCAACACTCAGCCAGGCAGTTGGTGATCCCGCCTGTGCTCTGGCTTTCTGCCTGGGCAGAGCCTGGGGCACGTTGGAGCTTTCCAAACCCCTGGGAACATCTTCGCTTTCAGCAAGCAAGGTTATGCCGTCTGCTTATCACAGGTTGTTAATGAGTCTTCCTCCAATCGTGATACAAGTTCCTCTTCATATAGTCCACCTCGGATTATTTGCTTAGCATACAGATTGAATAGGTATGGGGAAAAGATACAACCCTGACATACACCCTTCCTGATTTTAAACCATGCAATGTCCCCTTTTTCACTTCGAACAACACCCTCCTGGTGTATGTACAGGTTCCTCATGAGCACAGTTAAGTGTTCTGGAATTCCCATTCTTCTCAATGTTGTCCATCATTTGTTATGATCCACACAATCAAATGCTTTTGCACAGTTAATAAAACACAAGTAAACATCTTTCTGGTATTCTTTGCTTTGAGCCAAGATCCATCTGACATCAGTAATGATATTCCTCATTCCACATCCTCTTCTGAATCCAGCTTGCATTTCTGAAAGTTCCCTGTCAATATACTGCTGCAGCTGTTTTTTAATTATCTTCAGTAATATTTATTTGCGTGCAATATTAATATTGTTCAATAATTTCCACATTCTGTGGGATCACCTTTCTTTGGAATGGATAAAATATGGATCTTTTCCAGTCAGTTGGCCAGGTAGCTGTCTTCCAAAATCTCTTGGCATAACCGAGTGAGTGCCTCCAGTGTAGCATCTGTTTGTTTGTTGAAACATATCAATGGGCCTTGAGCCATCTCAAGGCTCAATTCCTAGAGCCTTGTTTTTTGCCAATTCCTTCAGTGCAGCTTCAACTTCCTTCTTCAGTACCATTGGTTCTTGATCATATGCCACCTCCTGAAATGGATGAACATCAGCCAGTTCTTTTTGGTACAGTGACTCTGTGTATTCCTCCTGCCGGAGTGTACCTTGGAAGCAAGAATAGACAGACATCGTCTCACCTACTTTGGTCGTGTTGTCAGACAGAACCGATCCCTAGAGAAGGATATCATGCTTGGTAAAGTGGGGTCAACAAAAAAGGGGAAGGCCCTCAATGAGATGGATTGACATGGTGGCTACAGTGATGGGCTCAGGTATGGAAAGGATCATGAGACTGGCACAGGACTTGGCAGTATTTTTTTCTGTTGTACACAGGGTCGCTGTGAGTCAGAGACAACTCAACGGCACCTAATAACAACAACAACAAGGAACATCTTATTCCATGGTTTTTTTTATTTTAAGCTTTTTGGTCAATCTATTGTTTGCCCAACTACCAACCACCACATCAGGCAGCTGAAAAGTTAATTTAAAAAAAAAAACAAAACCCTCCCTGGGTTTCTGAGGTGGTATCTAAGGAAGTGGACCACCCAGTCTTCCTTCTGAGGAGCAGCTGGTGAAAGTTAGTCAAGTGCCCCTGCCCCCGGGGAAAAGATTTTCCACAAGTGGGCAAGTTCTGAATCAGGTCAAATACAGACTGCCTTGCAAGTAGGGTCTTCTAAGGGACCACCAGACAGGCTGGACAGCAGCAGTTTCTTGTGAGGCTTGGAAAGAGCTCCAGCTGCACTGTCCTATGATGATGGCAGCCTACTGGTTGTCCCTGTGACTGTGGCTGTTGTCTGTTAAGCTAGAGTGGGAGATGCATGAAGGGAAGGACACAGGGAAGAGGTGACTATGGGGAAGAAGTGGGAGGGGAGCTGTTGCATTGTGGGAAATTGCAGTCAATGTCATGAGACAAAGTGTATGTGGGCTGTTGTATGGAAAGTGAATTTGCTCTGTAAACTTTCCCCAAAATCACAATAAAATAAATAAGTAAATAAAAAGGTCATTTGCAGCAGATTTACCCAGTGCAGCAGTTTGATTCCCTGACTGCTGCTTCCACGGTTGTTGATTGTGGATCCAAGAAAAATGAAATCCTTGACAACTTCCATCTTTTCTTGTTTATCATGATGCTGCTTAGTGGTCCAGTTGTGAGCATTTTTGTTTTCTTTATGTTGAGGTGTAATCCATACTGCAGACTGTAGTCTTTAATCTTCATCAGTAAGTGCTCCAAGTCATCCTCACTTTCAGCAAGCAAAGTTGTGTGGTCTGCATATCTCAGGTTATTAATGAGCCTTTCTCCAGTCCTGATGCCACATTCTTCTTCATATAGTCCAGCTTCTCGGATTATTTGCTCAGCATACAGACTGAATAAATATGGTGAAAGGATACAACCCTGACACACTCCCTTTCTGATTTTAAACCATGCAGTATGCTCTTGTTCTGTTTGAACAACAGCCTCCTGGTCTATGTACAGGTTCCTCAAGAGTACAGTGAAGTGTTCTGGAATTCCCATTCTTCTCAGCGTTATCCACAATTTGTTAATGATCCACACAGTCGAATGCCTTTGCATAGAACATAATACATAGGTAAATATCTTGGTGATATCTTTTGCTTTCAGCCAAGATCCATCTGAGATCAGCAGTGATATCCCTCCTTCCATATCCTCTTCTGAATCCAGCTTGAATTTCTGGTGGTATCCTGTCAATATACCGCTGCAACTGTTTTTGAATTACCTTCAGCAGAATTTTACTTGTGTGTGATATTAATTATTTTGTCTGATAATTTTCACATTCTGTTGGATCACTTTTCTTTGGAATAGACACAAATATGGCTCTCTTCCAGTCAGTTGGCCAAGTAACTGTCTTCCAGATTTCTTGGCATAACCGAGTGAGTGCCTCCAATATTGCTTCCATTTGTTGAGACATTTTAATGGATATTCTGTCGATTCCTGGAGCCTGGTTTTTGCCAGTGTCTTCAGTGCAGCTTAGACTTCTTTTTTGATACCATTTGTTCTGATCATAGACCCCCTCCTGAAATAGCTGGACGTCGACCTATTCTTTTTGGCTCAGTGACTCCGTGTATTCCCTCCATCTTCTTTGGATGCTTGCTGTGTCGTTCAGTATTTTGCCCATAATCCTTCAGTATTGCAACTCCAGGCGTGAATTTTTTCTTCAGCTCTTTCAGCTTGAGAACTGCTAAGCATGTTCTTCCCTTTTGGTTTTCTAACTCCAGGTCTCTGTCCATTTCATTATAATATTTTCCTTTTTCTTTTCAAGCTGCTCTTTAAAATCTTCTGTTCAGCTCTTTTACTTCATTTCTTCTTTCACTTTATCTACTTTCCGTTCAAGAGTAAATTTCAGAGTCTCTTCTGACATCCATTTTGGTCTTTTCTTCCTCTCCCATCTTTTTAATGACATTTTGCTTTCTTCATGGATGATGTCCTTGATGTCATCCCACAACTTGTCTGGTCTTCAAATCTTTTTTTTCAGATGGTCTCTAAATTCAGATGATATAGTCTCAAGGTCATATTTTGGTTCCTTACTGTGACTTGTTTTAATTTTCTTCAGATTCAACTTGAACTTGCATGTAAGCAGTTGAGGGTCTGTTTGATAGGCAGCTCCTGGCCTTGTTCTGACTGATGACATTGAGCTTCTCCATTGTCTCTTCCCACAGACAGAGTCGGTCTGATTCCTGTACATTTATTCCATCTGGTGAGGCTCACTTGCACTGTTTATGTTGTTTAAACATAAATAATTAAAATGTATTTGCCATGGATAAGTTGCTGGTCTTGCAGAATTCTATCTCTGGCATCATTTCTATCACCAAGAGCATTTTCCAACTACCAGTGCTTCTGTGTTTCCAGATTTTGCACTCACTGGTAATTATCAATGCATCTTGATTGCATGTTTGGTCATTTCAGACTGCAGAAGTTGATTAGAAAAAAATCAGTTTCTTCATCCTTGGCTTTACTGGTTGGTGTGTAAATTTGAATAATGGTAGTAGTAACTGGTCTCCCTTGTAGGCATGTGGATATTATCCTATCACTGCCACCATTGCACTGCAGGATAGATCTCAAAATGTTCTTTTTGACAATGAACATGACGTCATTCCTCTCGAGTTCGTCCTTCCCAGCGTAGTGGACCATGTGACTGTCAGATTCACAATGGCCTATGGCAGTCCATTTCAGCTCACTAAAGCCTAGGATAGTGATCTTTACGTGTTCCAGTTCATCTTTCACAGCTCCCAGTTTTACTACACTCATGCTGTGTACATTCCACATTCTGATTATTAATGGATATTTACAACTCTTTTTCCTCATTTCGAGTTGTGCTCCATCGGCCAATGAAGGTCCTGAAAGCTTTACTGCATCCACGCCATTAAGGTCAACTCTGCGTTGAGGAGACAGCTCTTCCCCAGCCGTATTGCGAGTGCCTTCCAACCTGAGGGGCTCATCTCCTGGCACTGTAACAGTGTTTCCCTGCTGTTCATAAGGTTTCCAGGGACCAAGTTTTCAGAAGTGGACCTGGCCACATCCTTCTTCCTAGTCTGTCTTAGTCTAGAAGCACTGCTGAAACCTGGCCACCAGGGTGCCTCTGGTGGTGTTTGAAATATTGGTGGCCTGATTTCCAGTGTTACAGCAACATGTAAACCAGCACAGTATGAGAAACTGACAGACGAATTGTGGGATTGTAAGTACTCACTCACTCGCTGCCGTCGAGTCCATCCCGACTCAGAGACCCTTCCTTGGGTTTTCAGGGTGGTATCTCTACAGAAGTAGATTGCCCAGCCTTCCTTCCAAGTAGTGCCTGGTGGGTTTGAACCGCCAGCCTTCTGGTTAGCAGTCAGATGCCTTAGGCACTACGCCACCAGAGCTTCAAGGAAATGGCTCGCATACTGTGGAGGCTGCCAAGTCTGTGGGTCAGGGGTCAGGCTGCAGCCTTCTCCTGATTCGCGTGGTTGAAGGAGCTGACAAGCCCCAAATCTGCAGGTCAGGTGGCAAGGTGCAGGCTTCTCACATCCGAAGAATGTGAGGTTAGATAACATAACAGCAAGATGAATGCAGGATCAGGGGAGAGCAAAGCTTTGCCAGAACATTCATTTATATATTGGATGCAGGCCACACCCCATGGAAATTCCCCTTCCAACTGATTGGCTGTTCACATCAGATCACAAAATGGAAGATGATTACATAGTGTCTGCCGGGCCACTGAGAATCATAGTCTAGCCAAGTTGACACATACCATTAACCATCAGAGGCAGGGATATTTCTTCAGAAACCTGTGTTTTTCACTGCGTTATTTTTATAAAACATTGGTTATAGCAAATGAAACAATGTATTATTCATGTTTATCATCTGCTGGAACATGTAACAGCGTTGGTGATGAACGTGGTTCTTCAGAATGACATTTGTTTCCCTAGGAATTTGCCCACTCTGTACAAAAGGTAAGGAAAAGTTTAGCACACTGCCCCAAGATGGCTAACATCTGCTTGTCCCCTGTTAGCAGAGGGATACATGGTCCAAGAGAACATCTATGCCTGGGAATCTCTAGGCATCGGGAAGTACATGACAGCCCTGGCCATCTCAGGACCTGTGTACCTCCTCCTGCTTTTCCTCATTGAGACCAACACCTTGAGGAGGCTGACAGCCAGGGTCTCTGGCTTCTTCAGGAAGCAAAATTTGGTGAGTGCATCAGACCATAACTCCTCCGGGGAGAAGTCAAGACCCCGTGGCATCCTTCTGTGATCTGTCTTGGGCTCGATTCAGAGCATCACACTGAGGCCGTCTAGTCTGAACTCGGGGCAGAGAGGCCACAGCCACGCCCAGAGCCTGGGGAGAGGGAGGAAGACTCCGGCTGAGTGCTCAGTGACCCCCGTTAGTGTGCTGGTCCCCGTAGGGCTTTAGTGGCCCCTTGACAGCTGAGGAGGAAACAATACACTGGCTGGGGTTTCTCGGAGCACCCCGCATTCTGCAGCAGCTGCTCCTCACAGACATCCAGTACCGAAGGGAGCGAGCTGCTCTCTGGCTTTGGTTGACTCATCTTCAGGGCCTGCGGTCTTTTTATGCTGGGCTTCCCAGGCTTTAAATCTTTTTTAGGTTCCCCCAAAAGTGGGTGCTCCATGAACATGCCATGCCCCCTGCGTCCAGTTCAGTCTGGAATACAAGTAGTTGCTCTTGAGACAGGAGGGGGTATGGGGTGAGAGCTGAGGCCTCCTCAGGGGCGGTCCACTTGAGGTGCCCCTCAGACTCTACCTCCTCCCCTAGCGCAAAGTCTCCTCTTCCGACCTTGTCTTGGGAGTTCAGGAAGTGACTCATAGCCCTCCATCAGCACCTGGAGACCAAAACATGGCAGAGGAGGGGAAGCAGGAGCCGTCCCACTGGGAGCAACTGTGTGGGCAGGACCCGCTGGTGGTTAAAGAATTATCGAAGGTAAAGTGTGACATGCCAGTTCTTCCGGGCCCTTGCCTGAGGAAGAGCACATCCCGAAGTCACGTGCCAGTGGGAAGGCCTCTCTTGTAGACGGGGCGCCCCAGGGAGACTCCCGTGGGCTCATCTGCCTGTGCATGGCTCCCGTGGGAGCACATCTGTGTCCTTGGGGACTGAGGGCAGCCCTGCTGTGTCTCCCTGTGGGCCCTTCAGGCAGGAAAGCCGGGGAAGGGAAGAGAGGAGACAAGAGCTGCGGATCTCAAGGAGCGAGGGGGGCTGGCAGGGTGGCAGCGCCAGGTAGAACTGGGGTCGGGGCAGGGCTCGTCAGTCTTCCACGTCCTTCAGTCTTCCCCAGAGCCGGGAGGACATTGCTGAAAGACCCTTCCAGCCTCCAGGACCTGTAGCTCTTCCCCCAGCCCCTTGGTCTTGCTCAGTGTTTCCCTGGAGTTTTGGTGGTGAGCACGCAGGCGGCATCGGTGGGACCTGCCTGTTCAGGGACCGGACGGGAGCGGCCTCTCTGAGCTGAGCCTGCATATGCAGGGGGCGCTGGGAGGAGGGCGCAGCCGTGGCCCAGGCAGGGGGAGTCCTCCTCACAGGCCGCCATCCCGCCAGGTGTACTTCACGGAGGAGCCCCTGCTGGCTGTGGACGGGGTCTCCTTCACCGTGCAAGCGGGAGAGTGCTTTGGCCTTCTCGGCACTAACGGAGCCGGAAAGACGACCATTTTCAAGATGTTGACCGGGGAGGAGCTGCCCACGTCCGGGTACGCCTTTGTGCGGGGCTTCAGCGTCAGCTCTGACCTCAGGAAGGTGGGTGTGGCTGCGGCGGGAAGGGGCACTGGGACGAGACTGGGGAAAGGAAACTGGGCCTGGACTCGGCCCCTTGGATTCTGTGTGTGCGCTCCATCCAGGCGCCTGCTGCAGGCGCACTTCTGCACAGCCCACTGGCCTCCTAGATGTCCACGGGCCCTGCAGCCCAGCGGGCCCCACAGGAGCCCCCCGCTGCCCCACGCACTCAGCCGCCCCGCCTGTGCCTCCTGGTGCAGGGAGGGGCGTACGTCCCCCCACACTGTCCAAGTCGGCGGCCTCAGCCCACAGACCTTGGACCAGGTCCCTGCACACACACACACACACACACACACACACACTAGCCGAGGTCCCGCCGACCGGGCATCCCTCCCGCTGAGCTGACCCAGCCGAGGTGGCTCTTCTGTCGTTGTGGTCAGACTAGCCTTTGCTGCAGTGTCTCCTAATGCCACGCCTGTCCTTCCTGACCCCCTCTCTGCTGGCTCCTCTCTGTCCCAGCGGCCTTGCGTCGAGTTGTCCTTCCCCCAGCTGGGACCTGGGTGTCCTCCAGCCGGCATCCCTAGCCCTCACTCCTTCTCACTCCACAGACTGACCCTGACCGGGTTGCTTTGTCACTGGCTCCTGTCACTTGTTTTGTTTTCACTCTTTAACTTTTTAAGGTGATTTGGGTGAAAGTTTACAGAGCAAATGGGTTCTCCGTTCAACCACCCAAGCACATACCGTTTGTGACGTTGACTGCAGTCCCCATGATGTAACAGCGTTCTTCCCACCTCCTCCCTGTGGTTATGGTTTCCCCTCATCCCTCCTGTCCTGCCCTGTCCCTTCCTGCCTTCTGAGCCTTCTCCCTGGGCCAACGCTGCCCTTTGACCTTGTGGGGTTGCCTGTCCTACGGAGCACTACCTCCCTGGTGGTACCCATCCCCTCACAGGCTTGTCTGTCATTTGGGCAAAAGTTGAGCCACCGGCTGAGTCCAGTTCCAGGCAGGAAGGGAACTAGGGCCACGGTCTCAGGGGTCACAGCAGTCTCCACCCCCAGGAAGCCTGCTCTTTCTGTGACTGGAGTCCGGGCTCACTTTCTCC